AATATATATATATATATATATATATATATATATATATATATTTTTTTTTTTTTTTTTTATAGATTTTTTTGTTTGTTTTTTATTTCATAACAGCTGAGAAACCCAGAGCTGCACTGACAGCAGGTTCAACAACCATACCAGTAGGGGGCAGTGTGACACTGAGATGCTTGATAGAGAGCTCCCCTGGATGGAAATACAGATGGTTCAGACAGATCTCAGGCACCTCTGAAGAGATCAGCACAGGTAATGAAGAAAACAGAGATATCACTGTGAAACAAGGAGGAATCTACTGGTGTGAAGGGCAGAGAGGAAATCCCCCATTCTTCAGTCAACCCAGCCATGATGTCACCATTGAGAAAACTTGTGAGTTTTGTTCTTGAAAACAGTTTCAAAACCGTAAGAAATTAAGTCAACTTAATCTACTTAATCGATGCTTCTCATGTGACTTTATGTTTTTGTTCAAATACAATTAACATTATTATTCTGTAAACAGTATCCAACAAGGTTGTTGTGGGCTGTCAGCCAAACGAGCCTTATATTGGTGAGACGATCACTCTGACCTGTGAGGTCCAGGGAGGAGAAACCACTGAGTGGACGTGTGAATGGAGGAGAGATGGGTCATTCATACACAGGACAGATAGTAAAGACTGGACTTTCAGAGTCTCTGAGTCCAGCAGTGGAGACTACATGTGTCAGTGTAGAAGAAGAGATGACTGGTTTTCTTTAACAAGGCTGAGTGAAGCCTTCACTGTAGCAGGTAAGTTAGGTTTGTTTTTTTTTTTTCTACCTCTAAAATAAAAATAAAAATTAATCTCAAACAGCATTTTGAAAATCTTGTTCAAAATTGGCCAAAATTAGAAAATGAATAAATATTTTCTTAAATGTTAATAGATATTATACAATTCTTACACATGCTAATCTGTCAAAAACCATTAGTTTTTTTTTTCTTGAAAAATGTAATTGCATTCAATTACATTTTCTCACATGACTTCTTGTTTCTTTCTACCTGATGCTAACAGTTTTCAACAAGGTTATTGTGTCTCGACACCCAAACTGGTCTCAGATGTTCAGTGGTGAGACGATCACTCTGACATGTGAGGTCCAGGGAGGAGAAACCACTGAGTGGAAGTGTGAATGGAGTAGAGATGGGTCAGTTATACACTGGACAAGCAAAGACTGGACCTTCAAAGCTCTTCCGTCCAGTAGTGGGGACTACATATGTCATTGTAGAAGAAGAGATGACTGGTATTCTCCAACAATGTGGTGGAGTAAAGCCATCAAACTGTCTGTTGCACGTAAGTTATGTTTGTTGTGTGTTTTGACAGTTGCCATGAAAAACAAGGTTGCTTGTAAAACAGTGGCAGGAGTTGTGTAGCAGAACTTAAGATCTTCTTAAGACCTTAATGCTTCTCCTATAGCTGTAAATGTCTTCCACACAGACTGTGTTGGGGAAATCCCTGCACCAACTGGGGATTTGGGATTTATTAGACCTGCCGGCCCTTGTCCCTGTACTGCTCACCAAGGTCTTTGTATTTAGAAGCCTTCTTCTCATATACCTCTGTCTTCAAATAGGACAGTCAGTTCAATCAGGATGATATTCTTTGACTCCTCCGACCACAAAAATACATGGGGCCTCAACGATACAAGGGGAAGAATAGTCTCTTAAACCCAAAATCGTGCTCTTTGCAGAAGGCTCAGCTTAGGATAGATTTAATCTGGATGTTGAGTAGGTCCTTGCCAAACCTCTATTTTAATTGTGGCGAGCCAAACAAAGGTGGACCTGCTGGTGGGCTTTGGATCATTGCATAAGCCCAATATATTTGAGCCTGAGGCCAAAACCTGATGGTTAGATCTTCTGCCTCTCTGCTTTTACCTTTCTGAAAGTTAGCCAGGTCCTGGACTAGCAAACCAGCCTAAGACAAATTACTATGTCATCATCATGGTGGTTTTGCATGGCGTTCTTTATCCCAAATGTTGTGTTAGGCGTACTTCAAATGTAACAGGAAACGTTCTAAAAGTTAAGAAGATGTTCTTAAAAATCTGGTCAATCTGTGGAAGTTTTTTCAGCAAATTTGAGATGGACATTTACTCCCTTTGAGGCATTCTTTATTTATATTTCTCTGAATGATGCTTTGAAAATAAAATGTGCTTCCTTGTGTATTTATTTAGTCATTTGTTGTCAGTATTTGGTCTCAGAACTCTCTCATACATGCTATTTATTTTTCTTTAATAACAGGTAAACCAAAGGTCCAGTTGAGTGCTAACAGCCTACCAGGCAGAGTAACTCTGACCTGCTCAGTGACTCCATCACCAATTGGCTGGAAATATTACTGGTACAGAGATGAGAAATCCGCTGAGCCGCTGACGACACAAAAACCTGTTTTCTCTCCTAATGAACTGATGAGCGTCTCAGAGAAAAGCCTGTACTGGTGCAGAGGAGGAAGAGGAGAACCAGAGTACTACACAGACTACAGTAATCCAATCACAATCAGTAATAATGGTGAGTTTAACTAGACTTTGCTTTTAAGTCAAAAAGTGGTACTGTTTATGTTCTTGTATTAATTTAAATAGTTTCCAAAAACAATTTCTAATGTGTTTTTTTTAAAATAAAAATCACAACTTAACAAGTCCGTGTTAGTCCCATTGAATTAAAAGTAATCTTGTTTATTGTATTTTTGTTATTATGCATCTTCTCGTACAACCTTTGAGAGGAACAAGAGAAACAGTGAGGATGATCATGAAGTCACGTCTGTAAACAGTGAACGTTGTCATAATGTCCTGTTTTTTTTTTTCCAGTAACTGTTTCCCATCCTGTCAGCTTTTCACTTCATCTGTTGTTAATCGTTGGACCAGTTAGTGGAGTCGTTCTCATTATCCTCCTGCTCTTGTGGTGGCGCTACAAATGGTCCATGGGTGAGAGATTTTTTCTTCTCATTTTAATGCTTATGAACATCTTCCCTACATGTGAGTTTTGAAATAGAGTTAATCAATTTAATTCTTCTGTCATTGATCCAAATGCCTTCGTCATCTTCCCCAGACTTGTGCCGCATCAGGTGAGTATGAAATATCTGCACTCTCTCCTCTCGGTCACAAACTTTTCTTTCTTTGTTAAATTGAATCCACTTCGATATTTTTAGGTTGTTTCGGTCTGAAAGCAGCAGCCAGAGGCCGACCACTAATCATGAAAGTGATTACAGCTCTCTGCTGCATGGTCAGTCACACAATAAACTTAACATTAACTGTGTTAAAATGAGTGTCAATGTGAAAATCAAGCTAATTGTCACCACCATAACTGCAGAACAAACATAGAATATAAACAGGCAAAAATATATATATTTTTAATTTTATATAACTTTAATCAGATCTGAATATTTCTTTTTTATGTACCGTAGGCACCACGTCTCTGTATGAGACCATCCATAACCGTGGAGCCACAGGAAACGGTAAAGTATTAAAACAACCACGTTATTAAAGGAGACTGATTACATGTGAATCAGATCAATCCCAAACTGTCAAATACTCAGAGCGATGTCAAACAATTTAAAAGTATGAGGTGGTTATTAACAAAATGCTCAGGAGATTTTGCAACACTAACATGTTTTCTATGTGTTCTTTGCAATTTCAGCAGAGAGGCCTCCTGATCCAGCAGAAGGTTCTGTTTACGTTAACGTGAGACCAGATAATTTCAGCTCAGCATGAAGGTCAGATAAACACTTGACTTGGTTAAATTGTCACTTATGTTTTTATTTATTGTTTATTATTAAGTGGATGTTAATCATAAACATCCACATTTAGGTATTCTACTTAAAGTTCTGTTATTATGTCATGAACTCGTGACTGTATCCCATTTGTCTTTGATCTGTAAAAACACTTTCTGATTCTGACAGTGATAACTATTCTCTTTTTTTATTTTTTTATTATTATTATTAAAGTATCATGTCACTCTGGTTTCTGACTTAGACTCTGGTGTAGGCTAGATAATATCCTCATTCAGTTTAAGTCTATTACCCATTATGTTTCTATTGGATAGTTAAACACACTTTTCATTAGTATTAATCAGCACCTGTTTCCAATACACATATTTTGAATGCGTTACTGAAAGTATTAGGATGTGAAATGTATGATCTGTGTTTGCAGGAAGCTGGAGTCCAGCAGCAACAGATGCTCCGGTTCGTTCTCAGATCAGGAAAAGCTGTGGACAACACTGCCGCCCTGCAGGCTGCTGCTTTACTCTGCAAGTCTTTGACTCGTCTGATGTGTTTTCATATTTTCATTGTTTGTTGTGTTGATTATTGTATTTGCCCTGATTTAAGATGCAATAGATGTTTTAATGTTGATGTAGCTCTGCAATGATCAAATATGTTAATCATATGTTATAGATAAGTTAAAAATCCATCAACTGAAAGTTTGGAAGATTCCAGTGAGATGAAACTAAAGATAAACATTACAAACACCATTGTTACCCATAGAGCAGCATTTGAAGCTTTCACACTTTTGCTTTGTTTGTAATAAGTAGAAGACTGCCACACAGTTTGACTATTGGTGCCTGTATTCAATGAAACATGCATAAGGTAATAATAAGTACAAATGTGTAAAACATTAATAAATGATATAGTCTCAACAATTCATAGACACTGACGGTGTTCAGGTTGTGCTTTGATTGCGGCTTTGTATGCTAAAATATGAGAATGAGGCCTCTGGAGCATTTCCCAGAAACCCATCAGCCAGAAGACCTTCAGAGTCCAAACTTGTGACAGGACAAGTTTAAAAGAGAAGGGAGAAAAAAAAGAAAAATAAACATTGTTTGGGCTAAAAACTCAGTGATTTCTTTCATAGGTTAAAATTTGTTCATATTATTTGACCTGTTAGTATCATCTAGTGGTTAATGTTGGTATTCCAGGTCTGTTAGAAACAGGAAGGCCCATATTTAGAATGTGTCAAGGCAACGTGCAGAGCGGCATGACAGTCCAGCCTTCCTGTTTGCTGCAGCTCAAATTGTTTGTTGCTTTATGTTATTCATTACCATCTTTGTTAGTTTAAAAGGTTTTGGGGAAACGTTGACCATTTTCACATTAAGATACTCCATTAATATGCCATGACGTGTAGTTTTTTTCTTATGGTACCTGCTCACTGTACATATATATTCAAAGTTGATTCATGTCTTTCCTTTTTTCTTCCTTAACTGCACCTGGTAGTTCAGAATTCATGCATCATGTTTTGCCTTTTTTTGCACTTCCATCGGAGGTCACTGACCCTGGTGTTTTCGTGGACAGTAAGAGCTGAATCTAAAGAGCACAGTGCTTTTCACACTAAACTTTTTTTCAGCTGCTTTTTGCACCTTTCTAAATGCAGAACTACTTCACATCCTTCCCAGTGTCACTGATCTCTTTTCTGCCTCTCTTTCCATCTGTGGTGTTATGTGACAGGTGAGATCATTCTATCACTTGTATTTAGAGACGAAAGGTAATTATAAAAAATAGTCCAACATTTGGCTTCTCCTGCACTAGAAACCACGTGCTGCTCTAGCTTGAGACAGCTAACTCAACTTTATCTAAATGCTACAATAGAATCTGTTGGAAAAAAAAAAAAGTGAAAAACATTGATGTTTTTGCTTCCAGTCGTTCCTGGAGGGAGAGATTCATCCTCAAGTCAGATTTCAAATAAACGGTCAGACGATCAAAAAAAAAAAACAAAAAAAAACTGAGACTTTAAAGGCTTATATAAACTTTATAAAACTGAATTTCTCTAAAAGAAGATAATATCTGCTTACATTTAATATCTGTGTGGTGTTTGCCCACTTTTATTTATTAATTTATTGCCACTGATGCGTGAAACGTTTGTCTTATTTTAAGCCGACCTTCTCACAGGAAAAGTCCCTGCGGTTTGTAGCAGAAACAAAGTTCACAGTGATGTCAGTCTTAGTAAATTAAGACCTAATGACTTCAGTCCGAGGTGCTAAGTTTTAGGTGATCTGTTTATTTAAAGCATTTGCAAATTGTCCACTCATAAAAGAAAAAGAAAATTGACCGAAGAGGTTAAACTGGCGTGAAGCGAGAATGGAGAGCATCTCGGTTTCTGTGCTGGGCTTCTTGTGTAAGTAATTACTTTCTGTGTTTGGACGGTGAAAATGGAGAAAATTATTTCAAACAAATTGAGATTAATGTTTAATTAGAAAAACAAGCTTTCTGTTGCGCTTCTTTCCTGTTGTCATAGTTTTCTTTCTCCTTTAAATATTTGATCATCCACTGATTTGATCGTCACAGATTTGCAAATCCAAAACGGCAATATGATCCAAAATGGTGCCGATTATTACAAAAACGTCACAAACTTGAATTGGAAATTACATACAGTGTGAATTTTGCGTTGCAAGCCTGAAAATGTTCCGTCTTCAGACTCAGAGTCAGGGTGTCAAGTATTCCAAGTGCAGTTTAGTCTTGTGATTCACAAAATTAACTAAGTGTGACTTTTTCTGACAAAACAAAAATAATCCTGAATGTTGTTTTCAAAAGAAATGGATGCATCTGTTAAACAGAACAACAGAGTCAATGGTGAATTTGTGGATGGGACAGTCTTTTATCTTAACTTCTATAGTGTTTAATGTTTATGTTAATAAGAATTCAACCTTTATTTCAGTGCTGAGCAAATTTCTCTGCTATGGACAAACTCAAGGTAACTGGACAGCTTTTAAACTTTATTTTAATGATGTACCTCCATTTTTTTTTATCATATTCTGTTTATGTACCTATTTTTGTTTCTATTAACAGTAGAAAGACCAACAGCCACATTGGCAACAGGTCCAACAACCATACCAGTAGGGGGCAGTGTGACACTGAGCTGCTCAGTGGAGCCCTCTGCTGGATGGAAATACAGATGGTTCAGACAGACTTCAGACACAATTGAAGTTCAAGTCAGAACAAATAATGAAAACAACGATATCACTGTGACACAAGGAGGAATCTACAGATGTGAAGGAATGACAGAAAATCCGGAATCCTTCAGTGAGTCAAGTGACGAGGTCACTGTCCAGATAAGCTGTACGTTTAATCATTTTATTGACACTGTACAATTATATATTTTTCTTGAACATTGTTTGCCTTTGTCATGAAACAGTTGAAGTTGTATTTTTTTAATGGTTCTGTTTGTTTTCCTACTGTCCACATCTGATGTAAACAGTTTCCAACAAGGTTGTTGCGACTCAGCAACCAAACCGGCCTCAGATGTTCAGTGGTGAGACGATCACTCTGACATGTGAGGTCCAGGGAGGAGAAACCACTGAGTGGACGTGTGAATGGAGGAGACCTGGGTTGGCTACTCACAGGGCAAATGGTAAAGACTGGACTCTCAGACTCTCTGACTCCAGTAGTGGAGACTACATGTGTCGTTGTAGGAGAAGAGATGACTGGCATTCGTCAACGAAGTGGAGTGAAGCCATCACTCTGTCTGTATCAGGTGAGTTATGTTTATTGTTTTTTGAGAGTTGGGCTGAAGCAAAATAACAGATGAGCAAGGGACCTGCTGGACTGTATCATGTAAATAATTATTTTTTATGCTCTGAGATGAGGTCTGAAGCAAATCTAAATGACTGCTTACTGCTGACCTACCAGCAGGGGGCTCCAGGAGAGCTTAGACCAGCGTTTCTCAACCCTGGTCCTCACCGCCCCCCTGTCCTGCATGTTTTAGGTATTTCCCTTCTGCTACACACCTGAATTGTATCTATGGGTGATTTACAGGCTTCTGCAGTATTTGATGGTCATGCAATCATTTGAATCAGCTGTTCTGGAATAGAGGCACATCTGAAACATGCAGAGCAGGGGGCAGTGAAGACCAGGGTTGAGAAACACTGGCATAGACTGTTGCTCTAGACAGATTTTACAAAACAAAGGTACCTTATATCTTATATAGTGTCTATTATAAAGATGTCATCAGACTGAGAAAAAATAAAAACATTTTATGAAGCTTGTTTAAAAGAAAACATGTAAATATTTCTATCTTATCCATCTGAAATATTCATAAGAAGTGGCTCAAATGATTTTAACTATCTATGAATGGAAAAAAAAACCATGTAGTTTTAGCTCTGTGTCATGTCTGACACCTACTCTCTATATACACAAAACCACATGTTTAATTTCTCTCCCTCCCAAACTTAAACCAAGTCCTCTCCATCACATAATTTCTGCTGTGTGATTGTGTCATGTTCTAAAAGCTTACAAAGTACATTACTGTGTGCTTCTTATTTTTCAGTACTTTTGATGTTTTTAGGATTTTCTTTTTTATCAACTAGTGACTTTTTGTCACCAACTTTTCATAATTACATCATGTACTCTGGCAAAGTGAAGTCACATTATGTTTTGGGCTGTGACCTGCCTTTACCAAAATATCTTTTTCTTGGCTGCTTTTGACAGTCTCAGGCCAGGCCGTTGAGCCCAGGCCGTTGCTCATCTTGACCCTATGGTTGAAGCACTACACAACAAAATTATCTGCCTTTACTCTGTTAATGGTTTTGTACATATAAACTTTGTCTGATAGAAACATAATTTAAAAACAGAAGTTTATTATAAAGTTTACAATTTTTCCTTTTTATCATCTACAGACAGACCCACGGCCACATTGGCAGCAGGTTCAACAACCATACCAGTAGGAGGCAGTGTGACACTGAGCTGCTCAGTGGAGCCCTCTGCTGGATGGAAATTCAGATGGTTCAGACGGACCGCAGACACACCTGAAGCTGAAATCAGCACAAATAATGAAGAAAACAGATATATCACTGTGAGACAAGGAGGAATCTACAGGTGTTATGGAGTGAAAGGAAATCCCTCATTCTACACTGAACCAAGTGATGTCACTATCCAGATAAGCTGTAAGTTTCATCATCTTATTGATCTTTCTTAAACAGTTTGATTTGTATGATGCTTAATGGGGCAGTTGTTAGCACTTGCAACAATCAGGTAATGGATTTGAATCCCAGCCTGAGACCTGTGCATGTAGATTTTATATGTTGCTACATCCATGTGTTCATCTATCCAGGTACTCTAGTTTCCTCTCACAGTCCAAAAACCTGACTGTTACGTTAGAGAAACAACACTCAGCTTCTATGCTCCACTTATCTGGAACAAACTTCCAGAAAACTGCAAAGATGTTGAAACACTGAGTCAAATCAAGGATAAAAACCCACCTGTATAAAGTTGCCTTTTACTCAAAATAACTGGAACACTGATCAATATATTTGATGCATATTTCTCTTATGATTTTGATGAAATGTAATGTTTGTTGCTGTTCACTGAATGATGTTTGTGTAAATCACTTTGAACTTCCTTGTTTCTGAAATATACTATACAATTAAACTTGACCTGACATAGATTCCATTAATCTTGACTGTAACCTCATTTTAAAGTGTGTTTGCACTTCAAGGTGATAGGTGTTGGATGGATGCTTACATTTGTGTTAAAACATTAAATGCTGTTTTTTTTTTTATTAATGTTTCTCTTCATATCTGATGGAAACAGTTTCCAATAAGGTTGTTGTAACTCGACGACCAAACCGGCCTCAGATGTTCAGTGATGAGATGATCACTCTGACATGTGAGGTCCAGGGAGGAGAAACCACTGAGTGGACGTATGAATGGAAGAGAGATGGGTCAATAATACACAGGACAAATAGTAAAGACTGGAGTTTCAGAGGCTCTAAGTCCAGCAGTGGAGACTACATGTGTCAGTGTAGAAGAAGAGATGACGCGTATTCCTCAACAAAGTGGAGTGAAGCCATCAGACTGTCTGTATCAGGTGAGCTATGTTTATTGTGTTTTGAGACTTGGGTTGAAGCAAAAGGAAACAAAACAACAAACGAGCAGGGAGACCTCCTGGACTTACACTGATCCAGTAATAGTCATATTCAATAAATTAGATTATGTGATCAGGCTTGTTTTTCAGATTAAAAGTATCTGTTCACAATAACATTTAAGCAGATGCACAGTAAAAGCGTTGACGGAGCATGTAAACACTACAAGAGTCAATTCAACAACACCAAGTGTAAAATACATTCCTATGGTGTGAAGTCTTGGTGTAAATATTCAGAGTTAAAATAGTTTTTTTTTTTTTTTTTTTTTTTTTTAGAATTTACTCATTACACTGTAACTTCTTAAGCATGAAAGGAAATGCATTCTTTTTGAGTTAATAAACACCATAAGCCAGTGTTACTAAAAATTCTCCAAACCGAGTGTAAAACGTAATGTAATTATATACTATTTTACTATAAACCCATTCAACATATACACTATTTGAAATCAACAATAACTTAAAATATTTACTCTAAATATTTCTCAGATATATGGTTAAACTTAACATAAAATATTTAAGATAAAATATTTGTAGGACAAAATACATCTTCCACGTTTTGTCAATTTATTAAGTTATTTTACAGAAATAGCATGTTATTCAGTGGACAGTGGTGGTGGTAGGAGGTAGGAGTTCACCCTGCAGTTGGTGGATCGTTGGTTTGATTCCCAGTCTGCCCGCCCTCATTGTTTGTGTCTCTGGGTGAGACACTTCACCATGTTGGGCTGATGGTTCAAAACTAGAGCCTCCCTTCTGTCAGACTGCTGAAGCTTGTCATGTTGCACCATTACATATTTAGAATAACACTTGGAAAAGCAACACTGGCACTGCTATGAATCTCCATAGAGACGCACAATCAAGTTTACTCTTTAACTCAATTTGACTGTAATTAGAGCAAAATCAACTCTGAAAAGTTCAAACTTATAGCAGAGGACTGAATACTTAGTCTGTGCATCACTATGCCTAGATGAAGCCTGTGGGCCACAAATGTTAAAGTCCTTGTGTCAAGACACTCCTGAACCAGAAACACTAGAAGCGTCTCACCTGGGCTACGGGAAATAAGAGAATTGGACTGTTGCTGTGCGACACAAAGTCTTCTTCTCAGAAGAAAGTAAAGTTTCTGTTCATATGGGTTTGGATTTTTGTTGTCCAAAAGTCATGTCTGTCAAAATTATAAGAAACAAATACAAACAAATAAGAAACAAATTATAAGAAGAAAATGCTTTAAATATTTTTCTGCACATATAACTAACCTATATAATATATCAGTTTCACTTCCTGAAATGAGGGCCAGCATCCTGCATGTTTTAGTTCTCTCCCTGGATTAACACACCTGGATCAAATGATGGCTCATTAGAAGGCCATCATTTGGCTCCCTGTTGGTATCCGAAAAAGGTTGTTGCTACCACCAGAGAGAAAACTAAAACATGCAGGACGAGGACCCTTGAGGACCGACTTTGGGCACCACTGGTTTAGGCTGTACATGTAAGCTTAATTTTATGATAAAATGACAGTAAAAAAAAACTATTGAAAACCAAATTGTGACCAATGTACCAATATATATTTTCAATTACACCAGATAAACCCAGAGCCAAACTGACAGCAGGTTCAACAACCATACCAGTAGGGGGGAGTGTGATGCTGAGCTGCTCAGTGGAGCCCTCTGCTGGATGGAAATACAGATGGTTCAGAAAGACCTCGGGCTCTTTTGTTGAATTCAGCACAAATAAAGAAGAAAACGGAGATATCACTGTGATACAAGGAGGAATGTACATGTGTATGGGAATGAGAGAAAAAACAGATTTCTACAGTGATTCAAGTGACGAGGTCACTGTCCAGATAAACTGTAAGTTCAATCATTTTAATTACTTTGTAACAATTGCTTTCTTGAACATTACTTGCACAGGTACAAAAATAACTAACATTACATGTTTTAATGATGACTCTGTCCATCTGGGGACAGTTTCCAACAAGGTCTTTGTGACTCGACAACCAAACTGGCCTCAGATCTTCAGTGGTGAGACGATCACTCTGACATGTGAGGTCCAGGGAGGAGAAACCACTGAGTGGACGTGTGAATGGAAGAGAACTTGGACAGTTATACACAAGACAAATAGTAAAGAGTGGACTTTCATTGTTTCTGAGTCCAGCAGTGGAGACTACATGTGTCAGTGTAGAAAGAGAGATGACTGGTTTTCTTCAACACAGTGGAGTGAAGCCTTCAGACTGTCTGTATCAAGTGAGTCATCAATGTTTTGTCTAATCTGTGGGAAATTGCACACTCCTATATCTGTTGGCCAAAAAAAAAGAATCTAAAGTTTGTTTCTCTGTACATACAATCGACAGAAATAGGACCAGGAACAGCAAGTCTTAGAACTTTTAACCAAAGTTTGATGTTTAGTGAATGATACTTTTGTCATTTTCTTTATTGTGAACTCACCAACAGGTAAACCAAAGGCCCGGTTGAATAGTAATAGCAGAGAGATACCAGCAGGAGGCAGTGTGACACTGACCTGTACAGTGACCTCCTCATCGTCTGGTTGGAAATATTTCTGGTACAAAGAACGAGACTCCTCTGAGCCTCTCACCGGAGAAGAAGCTGATTTTCCTTCAAATGGACAAATGAACGTCTCAGAGGAAAGACTGTACTGGTGCAGAGGAGGAAGAGGAGAACCGGCTTACTACACAGACTACAGTGATAGAATCAGCATCACTAAGAATGGTGAGCTTAACATGACTCAATTCTGATACAAAAAGTAAATAAAAATCGAGAAGTAAATATATTGCATATATTGTATTTTAATATCTTCTTTATTATTTAAAGCATTTGGGAGGAGCAAGGTATCAACTTATTGTACCAGTGTGTTCAAGTTTAAAGCAACACTTTGGAATAAAGAGAATGGCTTCGTAAAATCTGCAGCAATTGTGTGTGTGTGTGTGTTTCTTGTTTTCAGTAACTGTGTCCAGTTCTGCCAGCTCTTCATTTCCTGCGATGTTTGTTGTTGGACCATTTGTTGGAATCGTTCTCATCATTCTGCTGCTCTTGTTGTGGCGCTACAGACTATCAAAGGGTGAGATATTTTTCTTCTGATAGTGGATCAGATTGGTTCTTAGCGTTATTAATGAATCAAACACAATTAGTATTTTTAGCTTTGAAATGCTGTACTTAAATTTAATGATTATGCTTTTTTTTTTTTTTTTTATCTTTCCCAGATTTTTCCTGCCTCAGGTCGGTAACATCTGGCTTCTCATCTTAAACATGAACTCTTATTTCTTTCTGTAATTATTGAATTTAATCCACTTTAACATTTTTAGGTCGTTGCAGTCTGACAACAGCAGCCAGAGGCCGGCCACTGATCATGGAGCGAACGAGACTGAAAATCATTACCGCTCTCTGCTGCATGGTTAGTCACAGAGTATAAAAAACAGCATTTTCTTAACTGAATTATTCATAATTAATGTTTTGTCATTTCTTTGTTGTGAGGCATCTACATAACAGAGGAAAATATCACAATAGAGCTCATCCTGTCTGACAGACACAAAACAACAGGGTTAAACTCCTGAAATGTGTTTGTGCTAAATGTCATCGTTACATCAGCATTAATATCCACTATGATTATATTTCTACTTCTTAATGTAACAAAATGCAGCTATGTCACTACCATGAGTTAGTTTCATGAATTTGATTCAGCAAGTTATTTAATTGTCAGTAAACAGTAACTGACAACTTTCCTCTTTAGAAGCAGCCAAATAAAGATAATGTAAAGGAGAATTAAATAAACCTTGAAATTTCATATAACTGCATACGAATAAGAAACAGATATCAGAACTTTTTATTTATTTATGCTTTTTTTTTTTTTTTTTTTTTACATTTGTTATGTACCATAGCCACCACTTCTATCTATCACATTATCCGCCCGCGTCCGCGTGGAGCTGCTGGAAATGGTAATCTATGTATTTTACTACAGAGTTGGACAAACCAAGTTATTAGAGGCTATTATTCAGAAATAATTCTGAAATATTTCCATTACAGATGAAGTTGTGAAATACGCAAAGAGAAGAGGTAAATAACTGAAAAAGAACTGAAGCAGAAAAAATGAGAATATTTCTCAATATCAATTCATTTTTTTTCCATATTCTTGTTTTAACAGAGAGACCTCATCCAGAGAAAAGTTGTCTTTATGTCAATGTGATGCCAGGAATTAACAGCTCAACCTGAAGGTCATATGAGAAAATGTTCCTGCCACTTTTAGAAGTTCTTCTTACATTTCTGATTTTTGCTATGAATTTACTACCGTATCCAAACCGTCTTCATTCTCTAACAAAATTTACTGACAGTAATCACATTGCTGTGTTTTAAAAAAAAGAGAATCCTGTGATCTGCCCTGTAGGCTGCATGCTCTGCTGGTTTATTCTGCACTGTAATCTAATCTAATAACTCAAATATTTGTATTTTAAATTGCAATGATTATTTTATTTCTGCAGCATTAAGATGCTTGAGTTGATTTAATCCAGTTATATCTCTGCAACAGTCACTTGTTACCAAATTTCATAACATGAAATATGAAAATTGCTGTTATTATTCTTACTCACACAGCAGCATTTGTAGATTTTCCGCTTGTCGTGTGCATGCAGTAAAAACAATATTAACACAGTTTGAATATTGATGGACCTATTATTGTTCCTTTTGTGGTGGTGACATGAGAATAAAGCCTCTGGGGCAATTTGAAATGCTAATCTGTATTTTAATGTCTCCTTTATTATTTAATATTATTTACAAATAAAATCCCAGCTCCTTAGGTTTAAACACATTACTAAATATTTTGTTTAGTCCATCATTGTGAATATTAATGAAGCTCAAAAGTTTTTGCAGCAGCTCAAAACACTATAAAGAGACCAAAACATGTAGAGAGGGAAGCTAAGTATTTCAAAATTGTTAGACATCTAATAATAATAAATATGAGAAGTTGGATTTTGCCAGTAATATCCATGACAACTTCGGTCTTTCAGAGCACCAGAGCAACTTGACGTTGGAGATCAGTGCATATCTCCAAGACTCGAAACCAAAATGGAAAACAAAAAAAAAAAATCCTGAAATTTAAAAAATGTACACTGTGGTTTGTTTTATGTCTTTAAATTCCTGGATGAATGTCTTGCAGCTCATTAGCATGACAATGAGGCTTTTTAAACCGAAAATCTGTTGCAGTTCCTCTTAATTTCCACCAGGTGGTAGCAAAGAACATTTAAAAAAAAACTCATGAGTTTTAGTACAGGAAGCTGTAGATCAGTTCTTTTTAGTAATTTTGAACGCTTATAAGCTATTAACTTGAATGAAATGAGATAAGTTTATACATCAGCTTTCCTGTTTTTCCATTTGTGTATTTGTAATGGATGAGGAAGTAAAATATGATAACAACTGTCACATAATGTCATATCCACAGACCGGTGTGCTGCGTGTTGGATGTCTGCTCTCTCCTCTTCCTCCTCTGCAGGGTGTGACGGGCAGGTGCGGCTTCCAGGTGAAATGCATTTCCCACATCAAGGAGCAGTGCTTAGAGGAGTGGATTCCCAGATACAGTCGCCAGATGGTTTACTACTACTCGAGGCACTACTGCGGTTGCTGTGTTATCACAGTTATCACAGACAAGTTATGATCTTTCTTACCTTCGTTCTACTCCTTTGTCATAGGTCCTCAGTGCTCAGCTTCCACACTGATTATCTGGGCCTGTGGATTTCCTCCCTCCTAGTCTGTCTCTCGCTGATTCCATTCAGAACACCTGTGGCTCACCTCCAGTCCTTACCTGCCTGTCCATCTCCTCCGGCCAAGGAACCTAGAAAGCAAGATCGATCACTACTCACCCAGTCCACCAGCAAGCAGCCAACCACCGGAGCTGTGGATACTGCGTGCCCCTCCTCATTCAACTCCCCCACTTCATAAATGAGGACCCAGTCCAGATTTGGTGTTGCCCTCCTGAAGATAAGACCATTCAAACCTTTTTCTGTTGAATAACACGTTTAACCATGCTATCCCTTTTTTTGTAGTAGTTGCTCTCACCAGAGTCATCCAGGATCATGACGCATAAATGAGGCATATGAACTCCCACTAGGCCACATGTTGCTGGGTTATGACATAATTTTTATTAAATTTTTCATGACATTTTGAGATGTTTTCTTGACTATTTTTAGTATTTTTTTTTTTACACACTTTTATAATCTAGAGCAATGTAACATGATCCTCTGCATTAAGTGATTGCAAAGCGGGGCATCATCACGACTTTACACAAGTGAGTCTTTACCTCCATGGCAGAGACTCCGCCGAACCCCTGAGACCGACTCACCGAACCCCTGGGGTTCGATCGAACCCAGGTTAAGAACCACTGGTCTAGTGTTTTTCCGCTGTGGACAAGCAAAAGGTAACTTTAGGTTAATCCTTTATTTAATTGATTCATTTTTGTAGGACCTTAAATGCTGCTGGACAAAAGTGTCCACCAACCATGGCAGAAACACCAAGACTATCGACCAACGAGAATCAATCAACATAATATACAGTTTGTTCAAATAACTTTAACACTTTCGATAGTGACTCGATCAACTCTGTTATCAAAAAAATGAAGGGATTCTCACACTATTCATTATTTGAAACATAATTCTGTTCAAAGGTCCATAAATGTTTTGGCCGTTTGCTGATACTCTGGTAAGTCTTTGCTTATGGACCAGGAAATGAAGAGTCACACACTAGAGTTAGGCTTCATCTATGCAATTTACAGGATACTAGTTATTTTTGCCAATGTGTTTTTCTGATATCTTATCCGCCTCCACCCACCTAAGATCTTATTTTAATGTGACAGGTCAGATCATTCCATCACTTGTTTTTCGACATAAAGAGCAGCAGTTAAAAATAACCGACCAGTTGATTGTCATGCACTTGAAACCAAATGCTATTTTTGCACAAAACAATTCCTACTTTATTTAAATACTACTTTTGAATCTGTTATTGTTGCATTTTATTATTCATAATTTTATTTGAATAGCTACAAAAGCATCTTAACAATTTCCTTTCAAATTTTGTCAGTAGCTTATAAGGTGGTTGTGTTACGTGATTATTTCAATCTGGAGAGACTCAGACGGAGAGAGGGAAGCAGTTAAAAGGGTTTAATGACAAAAATAACATGAAAATAAACACAAGTTCTTTGGCGATCAGGCCCCGGCCGGGGACGTCAAGCTGGACTTCGATAAGCTCGATGAACATTCCTGATGCAGCGAGGGAATGTAAACCCCCCGGGGCCTGTGCTGGTGGCGGCGGTCAGAGGATGATGAGGCCTGAGAGCCGGGAGCTGAAGGTGGAGGCGGGGTGGCGGTGGGTTGATCGGGGCTGGTAAGCGGAGGAGGCTTGGAGTGAAGGTCCTTTTGAACCTGAGCCTGGACGATGATTGGCTGGAGTGAGGCGTGGACCTGCGTTGATAGGTCCGGGTGCGGAGAGGGAGGCACTGATAGCAGGGCCAGGTGCGACAAAAGAGTCTTCCAGCCTGAACTTCAGTCAAGACTCCATTTACTGTAGATTTATTCAAATCCATTTACTTAACTGATCACCAGCCATGTTTGCACTCTTATTTTAACCCGACTTGCCATTAGCGGTTTGTAGCAGAAACAAACTTCACAGTAATGTCAGCGTTAGTAAATTAAGATATTATAATCTTACCCTTAGATGAAAAATACAGTACATTCGGCAACTTACCGCTTCACTGAAGAAAAGTTTGACTGAAGTTTAAAAGCTGTCTAGAAGCCAGAATAGAGAATGGATCCTACGCTGGGCTTATTGTATAAGCGAGACGATCACTCTGACATGTGAGGTTCAGGGAGGAGAAACCACTATGAGTGGAAGAGATCTGAGTCGGTTATATACAAGAAACGCTGGACTTTTAAAGTGCTGAAGAGACTACATGTGTCAGTGTAGAAGCAAAAGTGACCAATATTCTTCAACTGAGATTAGTAACGCCAGCACACCGTCAGTATGAGGCAAGTCATCAATGCTTTGTCTATATATATGTTTGGTAATAAACAAACCTACAAGTTACTTTTCTGGGCACACCACTAATATTACTTTCTGACAGAAATGTGAATATCCAGTCTAAGAACATCCAATCAAAGTTTGGTGTGTAGTGGATGATACTTTTGTCATTCTGTCAACTCTAACAAAAAGGCTAAAGGCCCAAATGAATAGCAATAATACAGATACCAGCAGGGTGTAGAGTTGCACTAACCTGTATCTTTCTCCTCCTCCTCCTCATCTGCTTGGAATTATTTCTGGTAGCTCAGTGGACTTATCATCATCATCATCATAACGCTCCTCCTCTTCTTCCTCTTCCCCCTCTCTCCTTGTCTGCTTCGAATTATTTCTGGTAGCTCAGTGGACTTATCATCATAATCATCATCATCATTGTCATCATAACGCTCCTCCTCTTCTTCCTCTTCCCCCTCTCTCCTCGTCTGATTGGAGATATTTCTAGTACACAGGTGAAAACCCCTTTGATCATAGAAGAAGCTGTTTTATCCTCAAATGGACAAATGAATGTTTCAGAGGAGGGACTGTACTGGAGCAGAGGAGGAAGAGGACAACCAGCTTACTACACAAACTACAGTGATCCCATCAGCATCGGTAAGAATATTGCATTTAATATGAATGAGACCATTTTCAGATTCAAGGTGTTAAAGTTTATAAATACAAAGTTGTTGTTTTGTCACCAGATGAAGCGTCATAACCAACATCAAATAAACATAAATTTTATCTGTGATTGTTGCATTTCATTTTTACTTGAATATATGCAAAAGCATCTACCATTTGTTAACAGAAATTTCCTTTTATTTGGTGTGGTAGTCTATGCATAACATCACACTAAGCTTGTAGTATTATGTGATTATTCACTGTAGATTTTTATCAAAGGTGTTTGCTTTACTGATCACCAGCAATGTTTGCACCGTCTTATTTTTACCTGACTTTCCATCAGTGGGCTGGAAAAGTCCCAGTGGTTTGTAGCAAAAACAAACTTCACAGTGATGTCAGTGTTAGTAAATTAAGATATTATGATCTCATTTTTGGATGAAACATAGATCATGTTTCCTGCTCTTCTCTTTATCTACAGACGCTGCGTTTGCAACGTGTCACTTCACTGAAGAAAATTTCACCAAAGCAGAAAAGCTGCCTGGAAGCCAAGATGGGGAAAACCTTGGATCCTATGCTGGGCTTATTGTGTAAGTAAATCACTTTTTGTGTTCAGATATTGCAAATCAAGGAAAAATATTTGTGAGGAAAAATGTAATGTGAATGAAAGGTGTACACTATAACTCACAATATAACCTTGTATTTTAAATTACACTTAAAGTAAATTTGGCCGAATATGATGTAAATCTGAGAATATTTTGTTTAAAGTCAAAGTGTAGTTCAATCTCATCAGACAGAAAAAAAAAATTATTTAGATGCAATCTTTGATGTTACTTTAATCAAAACAAACAATTCTGTATAATAAGTCCTTCAAAGAAAGAAGGCGTTTAATAAACAAAACAACAAAGTTGGTGCAAAATGTGAGTGTGGGACAAACCTATTGCTATTTTATTTTAGGTTATTTAATGTCTCTAAAGCTAATAAAGTTTCAACCTTTATTTCAGTGCTGAACTCATTTTTCTGCTGTGGACAAGCTCAGGGTAACTTCAGCTTTTAATATTTGTTTTAGAGATGTATTCTCTAAAGAACAACTTCCCTTTCTTTTCAGTACATCACATCATACACTCTGATTTTTTTTTTTTAACATGTGATCTCAATTGTCGTAAACTAGAAAATAAATAAAATAAATTTTGGTTCTTTTGTAGATCCTGTGCTGACTATTGAGCCCAACTGGTCGACTTTTTATGTTGGAGAGTTTGTTACATTTATCTGTGACATGAATGAAGGACACGACTTTGACTGGTCCTACCTGTTGTTAAGGAAGAATTTCTAAAATAGTTTAACTTTGGAAAAAGTTGGCTCTCTCTCTTCCTTAGATCCCAGGTCCTCTCGGCAGGCCACGTGTAGGCACAAGGAAACAACAATGCGTGTTGACGTCACAGAATTACAGAATTTAATCCAATAAGAAACAACTTATGAATTAACAACAAAACTGCAGAACAACAGAAACATACATTGATTACCTGAGACAAAAAGATAAAAGAAAAGGCAAAGACGCGTCTTTGGAGAGAGCTGGTGCAAAAAGGCAAAATAGTAGCAGCTATCTGAATTATTACTCCTGTGCACGAACTTTTATAATGTAGGTGTGTCTTTCCTTTTTAATATATTCAATTAAGGCGTACCTCCGCTTGACCAACTGGAAGCCACCTTGGACACTCAGAAAAACTTAGAACTTCCCCTAATTTACTGCTGTGAACAAAGGCTCTTTTGTTTCACAAACGAAGAGGAGAGCCTCATCCTGAACTCCTGCGGTTTTAAGACCATCTAAATAAAGAATATACTGAGAAAAGGATTTCACAAATATGTGTGAAAGCCGGAGTCTCTCCCGCTATGTCTCCCTACATAAATTCTCAGGAACAAACTTAAATTTTGTAATTAATTTAAGGAAAGTTTATGTTAAACTCAGTTTTGCTCTTCTGCACTCAGCATCCCAAAAGATTGAGTCCTGCCTTAAACCAAAAATAACAGATAAAATCAACAGAACAAAATGAGGTACAATTCCTTTTTTCTAACCTAAAAAACATCCTAAGTATACAGGTTAACACAATCATTTTCCAAAACCCCATTTAGCATAAATCCTGAGCAATTTTCTAATACAGACAAAACATTTTCATTTAATTCTAACAGTCAGAAATAATAGTTATCAAATCCATTCATCATCGTCTAAATTAATTCTAAAACTAAATAATACAAGTTCCATCAGAGAATGCCATCTATAACTAAGAAAAATATCTTGTAAATTAAATGTTAGTGGTTCAAAATCTTCACATAACCCAGATGTTCACAGAAGGATTCTGATCTCCTGTGAACTCGGTAAGTTCCTGTTTCCCAAGGTAATTTAAATGATACTGGCCTCTACTTTCCTGCATATGTTAATCCATGGCCTCCTGTCCTATGTGTTACAACCACAGGGGTCCAGGGAGAAGCTCTACAGATCACCCCATTTTCCTTGGTACTTTTGAATACTTACCCAGCCATAGTTTAATTTTAAATCACCAACAGAAACCTGTTCAAAGTTTAAAGATTTGTTCAAAAAGATCAATCTGTATTAAACACTAAAAATAATCATTTTTCTCAACACTGTTCAATAAGATTAACAGGATTAGCGACCCATTTGATATAAATAGTTATAGATATAGATATAAAAGCATCACATTAGCATATAGTGGTGTATATCAGTGCATTTCTCACAGGTGGTGCTCATATGAAAGAAAGTGCAGTAATACGGTCACGGTTACTGTTTCAGGTAAGCATAAATTATTTTATCATGACTAAGTTAAATATGAAGATTGTGTTTACCTTATTTTAGTTCAAAAACATTAAGAATAGTTTTTTTACATGCAATAATGATCAGACCAGCACTCAGTACTTAAAATAACTGCCTGTGTGACATTATAAAGTAAATGAATTCTGTCGCAAATCACAATAAAACCAAAACAAGAAGATGCTCAAACTGACTTCAACCATAGGATATCTTGTGGAAAGAAATCTAATTATTGTTTTTTAAATAAGCTAATACATGATATCAAACTACAGTCACTGAAATTTCATATTTTTGAGAAAAAATAAATATATCCAACTATTTTATGCAATGACAGCTTTTTACATATTTAGTTTCTGACAGAAAAATGACAATTTTTCAAATCTTTTTTTTTTTTTTTTTTGTGAAATATACTAATAATTGTCTCTGTCAACAACAGACGGCCATATTGGAAGCAGGTTCAACGACCATACCTCTAGGGGGCAGTGTAACACTGAGCTGCTCAGTGGAGCCCTCTGCTGGATGGAAATACAGATGGTTCAGAAAAACCTCAGACACTTTTGTTGAATTCAGCACAAATAATGAAGAAAACAGAGATATCACTGTGAGACAAGGAGGAATCTACAGATGTAATGGAGTGAGAGGAAATCCTGCCTTCACCAGCAATCCAAGTCGTGACGTCACCATTGAGATAACCTGTGAGTTCTTTCTTGAAAACTGTCTGAAACCAAATCTATGAAATCCATTTTTTTTCTCTGATTTTCGGTTTCTGCTCACATTTGATAAACAGTTTCCAACAAGGTTGTTGTGACTCGACGACCAAACTGGCCTCAGATGTTCAGTGGTGAGACGATCACTCTGACATGTGAGGTCCAGGGAGGAGAAACCACTGAGTGGACGTATGAATGGAAGAGAGATGGATTAGTTGTAGACTGGATAAACGGTAAAGACTCGACTTTCATTGTCTCTGAGTCCAGCAGTGGAGACTACATGTGTCAGTGTAGACGCAGAGATGACTGGCTTTCTTCAACAATGTGGAGTGAAGCCTTCAGACTGTCTGTATCACGTAAGTTATGTTTGTCATGCTTTGAGAGTTGGTCTGAAGCAAACGTGAACTGAACCACTGCTTTCTGCTGCTCTACCAGCAGGGGACCTCTAGGAGCACAAACTCTTGCTGAGGACAGAGTTATTGTAATTTTTTTCTGAAGCATGTTTAAAAAAAAAAAACATAAAACCAAACTAATGGAATTTTCCCTACAATATCCATCTGAAATATTCAAAAGATGTTCAGATGATTTAAACTATTTAGGATTAGCATTATAAAGAGGACTCGAAATGTAAAAACATATCTGTATTTTTAGCTGTATTATATTAAAATCTTACACTTCTCAAGTAGAAAATATGACTGATTTAGTCCATCTAAGTGAGTCGTCAGCGCTAATGTTAAGAACGACGCTCTCCACAGTCTGTGAGACTGATGAACCAAATGTGTCTACTCTCCGTCTATACAAACACTCTAACTAACCTATAAAGAGGTGCAGGGACTGTAACTCTGGGAAAATGTAGAAACTGGTTATAGATAAAGACTGGGTGATTGGATAACATAGGGAAACATATCCAAACATTGCTGTTAGGATCTTTTTATGCCAGTGTACATGAAGACTCTTTACATCTTGCAGAGGCTTATTTATAGACCACAAAGTCAAATTTCCCAATGTCTCCATTTACTCTATTGATGCTTCTGTATATAGGAACTTAAAAACTTAAGCATATGATTTAACAACTGATCTTAAAAATGTATTCCAAAAATTTGACAATTTTCTCTTTTTCACCTACAGATAAACCCAGAGCCAAACTGACAAAAGGTCCAACAACCATACCAGTAGGGGGCAGTGTGACACTGAGCTGCTCAGTGGAGCCCTCTGCTGGATGGAAATACAGATGGTTCAGAAAAACCTCAGACACGTCTGAAGTTCAAATCAGAACAAATAATGGAGAAAACAGATATATCACTGTGGCACAAGGAGGAATCTACAGGTGTGAAGGAGTGAGAGGAAATCCTGCCTTCACCAGCAATCCAAGTCGTGACGTCACCATTAAGATAACCTGTGAGTTCTGTCTCCAGTGTTCTTCAAATTCTCCAGTGATTCAAGTGACAAGGTCACTGTCCAGATAAGCTGTATGTTCCAATATTTTATTGAAGCCATAAAATTACTTTTTTAAACAGTTTAGATGCGTTGACTACATAGCGGGGCAGTTGTTAGCTCTATTGCTTTGCAGTAAGAAGGTTGTGGGTACAAATTCCAGTGTGAAATCTTTGTGTGAGAAGTTTACCTGTTCTATTGTGCATTTAGGTAGTCTGGCTTCCTGTCACAGTCCAGTCAGATGATTTTAATAATTACTCAAACTGCCATCTTGTTTTAGTAAGGAGAAGTGGGTGTAGATGAGGGATGGATGTGCCCATTTATATTAATGTTGTTTTTATCTTGTTTCTGTTTGTGTCCCAACTTTACATTTCTCATAAAAAACAGTTTCCAACAAGGTTGTTGTGACACGACGACCAAACTGGCCTGAGATGTTCAGTGGTGAGACGATTACTCTGACATGTGAGGTCCAGGGAGGAGAAACCACTGAGTGGACGTATGAATGGAAGAGACCTGGGTTGGCTACTCACAGGACAAACAGTAAAGATTGGACTTTCATTGTCTCTCAGTCCAGCAGTGGAGACTACATGTGTCAGTGTAAACTCAGAGATGACCGGTATTCTTCAACTCAGAGAAGTAACGCCATCACACTGTCAGTTTCTGGTGAGTCATCAATGCTTTGTCTAAATGATGGAAAGTGATTCCCCTATATATATCGGGTAATAAACAAACCTACAAGTTACTTTTTTGGACACATCATTGATATTGTTTTCTGGCATTTATGTGAATATCCAGTCTCAGAACATTCAATCAAAGTTCGATGTTTAGTGAATGATAACGTTTGTCATTCTTTATTGTGAACTCACTAACAGGGAAGCCAAAGGCCCAATTGGATCGTAATAATGCAGAGTTACCACCAGGAGGCAGAGTGACACTGACCTGTACAGTGAACTCATTATCATCATTCTCCTACACCTCATCCTCCTCGTCTGCTTGGAAATATGTCTGGTACAGAGGTGAAAACTGCTCCGAACTTCTGACCGGAGAAGAAGCTGTGTTCCCCTCAAATGGAGAAATTAATGTCTCAGAGGAAGGACTGCACTGGTGCAGAGGAAAAAGAGGACAACCAGTTTACTACACCATCCTCAGTGATCCCATCAGCATCGGCAAGAATATTGCATTTAATATGAATGAGTCTTTTTTCAGATTCAAGGTGTTAAAAAGTCTATAAATACAAAGTCATTGTTTTCTCACTAGATGAAGCGTCATAACCAGCATCAAATAGGCATAAACTTAAACTCTCAGAGATCAAATCTCTTCACGTCTACTTGCAACAAACTTTTGAAATCTTAATCAACTTCAAATTATCATCAAAGTTTTATGTAAAAATTTCCAGTAAAGCCACCAAACCTATTACTCAGGTTACTCAGAACTGTAAACGTAGTTATTACAGCTCTGTGTTTTACGCTTTAGCTTTTTATTAAAGTTTTCTAAATTTCATAATTATGTCAGTATTCATTAATGGAAAACTAACAATTAGGCTGAGTGATCAACGTTCAGGTTGATCCCAAACTGAAAGGAAACTCAGTATTTTAATATCTTGTTTAATCATTCAAAGCATTTAGAAAGGAGCAAGGTAAAAACTTACTGTACTGGTTTGTTCAAGCTTAAAGAAACACCTTTCTGGAGTAAGGAGAAGGACTTCATAAAATCTGTGATTAAATTGCAATTTATTTCTTGTTAGTGCTTCCAGTAACTGTGAGCTCTCAACTTCCTGTGATGTTGATCATTGGAATAATTATTGGAATCGCTCTCATTATCCTCCTGATCTTGTGGTGGCGCTACAGACGGTCCAAACGTGAGATATTTTTCTTCTGATACCAGAACATATTGGTTCTTAACTTTACTGTATAATCAAGCATGTAAAATATTTTAGTTTTTAAATACATCCATAAATTTAACAATAATATTAATGATGCAAATCCATTATTTTTCCCCCCCCTCTAGACTCATGCTGCATCAGGTCAGTATGTTATATCTGGCTTGTCATCTTAAACATGAACTCTTAATCCTTTCTTTCATTATTAATTCCACTTGGGTATTTTTAGTTTTTTCCAGTCTGAAAGCAGTGGTCAGACGCCGGCCACTGATCATGGAGTGAACCGGATTGGACATGCTTACATGACTCTTCTACATGGTTAGTCAAATAAAAAAAATACTTTTTTTTTACTTAACTATTCATAATTAATCTATTGCCGTTTCTTTGTGGTGATACAGCTTCATAACAAAGGGAAATATCACAATAGAGCTCATTCTGTCTGACAACAAAAGGGTTAAACACCTGAATTGTGTTTGTGCTAAACATCATCTTTATATCAGAACTGATATCCACCATGACTATGTTTCTGCTTCTTAATTTAGTAAAATACAGCTATGCCAGTACCATGAGTTAGTTTCAAGAAAACATAGCGGTTACAAACTCACAAATATCCTCTTTAGAAGCAGCCAATAAAAATAATATAAATGAGAATAAAATAAGATCTTGAAATTTTATATAACTGCACAAATCAGAAATAAAAATTCTAACTTTTTTTTTCTACTTTTATTTATGCATCATAGTCACCACTTCTATTTATCACACTCTCCATCCCCGTGGAGCCGCTGGACATGGTGATGTATATATTTTACTACAGAGTTGGAACAACCAAGTTATTAAAGGAGACTAATGTAAAATCCTGAAATATTTTCATTGCAGATGAATCACAAGCTGTGAAATGCACAAAGAGAGAAGATAAATAATTGAAAAAGAATTAAAGAAGAACTGAAAATATTCCTGAACATCGATTCAGTTTTTCTTCCATATTCCTGTTGTAATTTTAACAGAGACCTCGTCAATCAGCAGGCGCTTCTGTTTGAGTCAGTGTGAGACCAGGAAATAACAGCATCCCCAGTTTTTATAGAATGTTTCGTTTCAGATAAATTAAAGCACACATACCAGTAGTTTTAAATGGAACCTGTTTTCAGTACATTTCATTATATAAGTTGCATTTCTCAGTTTGTAAACTGCATGCTCTCTGTCTACATATAAATATAAGCCTCTACGTTCTGATCAGACTCTGATCAGCTTTTCCTGATGTCCGAACCATCTCTGCAGATCTCCGCTGCCTTGTAGGCTGCATGCTGCGCTGGTTTATTCTGCACTGTAATCAAATGTAATAACTCAAATATTTGTATTTTATGTTGCTGCTTTAAGATTCTTGAGTTGATTTAATCTAGTCATATCTCTCCAACATGCATGTGTTAAAGATCTGAAATATAAAAAATGCTATCATGATTCTTACTCACAGCAGCATTTGTAGCTTTCCTGCTTTTCCTATTATTGCAATAAATACAATATTTACAGTTTGAATGTTGGTGGTGCTTTTGTTGTTCCTTTTGTGGTAATTATATAATAAAGCCTCTGGAGCATTTTACTTTGAGGCCTTAAGTTTAAACACATTATTATATATTTTGTTTAGTATGTCATCATAAATATTAATAAAATGTAAAACGTTTTGCAGCAGCTCAAAATGCTAAAAAAAATATATATATACCAAAACATGAAGAAAGGGAAGCTAAATGCTCCCTAGATTGTTGGAGATGCAACACAGTATCAGTGATTGAGTCTTTTTCAGTACAAAGAGATTTGAGTCAAACTATAACCCAAAGATTGTTGGAGATCCCACAATTTAACATCTCGAAGACTCAGAAAGAAATAGTTTAAAAATAAAAACTGAAATTTAAAAATGAATTAAATAGAGGTTTGTTTTACTTGATTAAATTCCTGGATGAATCCCTTGCAGCTCAGTAACATGAGGCTTTTAAACAGTAAATCTGTTGCAGTTCCTTTTAACTTCCACCAGGTGGTAGCAAAGAACATTTTAAATATTAAACTCATGAGTTTTAGTACAGGAAGCTGTTGATAATTTCTATTAGTAATTTTTAACACATATAAACTACAAACTTTAAAAAAAAAACAATCAGGTAATTTTATACATCAGCACCTGTCTTTCCATTTATCACAAGGAAGCAAAACTTAATAAAAAAAAAACTAAGGTATATGAACTACCACTGTGAAGGCCACATGTTGCTGGGTTATGACAAAGGTTTTACTAGATTTGACCATTTCTCATGACATTTGGAGATGTTTTATTGTCTTTTTATACTTTTATATCACAAGGGAAGTGAGCCTTTATTTAGAATCATGTTATGAACAAACTTTTCTGCTGTGGACAAGCTAAAGGAAACACCAGGACTACGGACTAATGAGAATCAATCGTCATGCTATAAAGTTTTCTCTAATAAATTGTAGCACTTCCCACGATGACTCAATCACTTTTTAAGGAAATAATAAGGGATTCTCACACCATTCATTATTTGAAACATGATTGTTTTTGAACGTGCTGATAATGTGGTAAGTACTGGACTAAGAAATGAAGAGCAACATGCTAGAGCTAGGCTTCATCTGTGGAAAACTGAGTCCATCGATACTATTTTTATGCCATAGAGCCACACAGAAAACAACCTCGTCAGCTACGTAAAATTGGAGGTACAAAAATGAACAGATGCATCATGGGTAATGTAGTGCTAAACAAATGGAAGTACTTTTAACACCTACATTATTTACATATTACAGAAACAATGTTATTTTTGCCTCTCTCTCAAAACTTGACATTACTGAATCAAAAATGTAGAAATAATGCTTTTCAAACTAACATTTCTTGCTGCTTTTTAGATCTTTTTACATTTAGAACTACGTCACATCCTTCACAGTTTTCTGATCTCTTATCTGCTTCCACCCACCTAAGATTTTATTTTAACGTGTTAGGTGAGATCATTCTGTCACTTGTTTTAAGACATAAAGAGGAACAGTTAAAAATAACCGACCACTTGGTTGTGACGCACTCAAAACCATTTGCTGTTTGCGCACAAAACAACTCTTTCTTTACTTAAACACTACTTTTGAATCTGTTATTGTTGCATTTCATTTTTCATAATTTCCACTTGAATAACAAAAACATCAAACATTTGAAAACAGGAATTTCCTTTCAAATGCCGTCTTAGTTTGTGCACGTCACACTGAGCTTGTTGTAGACTTGACTTATTTTAGCCTGACTTCTCACCAGTTAACAGGAAAAGTCTTAGCGGTTTGTAGCAGAAACAAAGTTCCCAGTGATCTCAGTGTTAGTAAATGAAGACATTATGATCTCAGTCTGAGATGAATCATAGACTGCTTCCTGCTCTTCACTTTATCTACAGACGCTGCGTTTGCATCGTGTCACTTCACTGAAGAAAAGTTTGACTGAAGCAGAAAAGCTGCCTGGAAGCCAAGATGGAGAAAACCTTGGCTCATTTGCTGGGCTTATTGTGTAAGTAAATCACTTTCTGTGTTTCACTAGTGCAAGTCAAGGAAAATAATGTTTTAGTTAAAAAATTAGCTTAAAAATGTCTCTTGCGCTTGTTTCCTGCTGCCATTGTTTTCTTCATTCTGTAAGTATTTGATCACCTGACCATTATAAATAATCTAATAAATTAGGAACATTCACTGAATGTTCCTAACACTGGCAATGATATAAAAATATTGAAATATAAAGTATAATGACAACTGTAATGTGAACCAAAAGGTGTGGCCTATAACTCACAAACCAACCTTTTATTTGGTTGAATATGATGTAAATCTGAGAATATTTAGTTGTCAGTGTCAAGTTTCAAAAGTGCAACTTAAACTCAGACAGAAAAACATATTTTTGATAACGATCGCTCTACCCTTAATGTTATTTTAATCAAAACAAAAACATCCTGAATAATATGTAATAATATTTAAAAAAATAATGAATTTGTTAAACTGAACAGCAAAGTCAGTGCTAAATGTGAGTGTGGGATAAAATTATGCTGTCTAGTTTTATGTTATTCAATGTTCATAATGCTAACAAGGTTTCAACCATCATTTCAGTGCTGAACTCATTTGTCTGCTGTGGACAAGCTCATGGTAACGTCAGCTTTTAATATTTCTTTTAAAGGTTTATTCTGTCAACAACAGCCTCCCTACAGGCGGGGATGTGGAGGGAAATGAGAAGGAGTTTTTTTTTTTTTTTACTTTTTTTTTTTTTTTGTGCAACAGGGGCCCTTTTTTTGTCCCCCAAAAATTTTAAAAAAAAAAATTTA